TTAACCAATAAGTATACGTCATAGGGCAGCAGCTCAGGCCATGCTTAACTAGGACTCTGAAACAACTGAGTTGACCACCGAAGGTGCGAGCCTCTAGAGGGGTCTGGAGGCATGCCCCCCCCAGAAAATTTTGGATTTTTTGAGGCTCAGATAAGCTATTTCCAGCATTTTGAGGAGTTTTCCAACAAGAAATTAACCTTACACTGGTCCCTGAAAATCAAACCAGCTGATCTTCTCGGACTGGTCAAATCGATCCCTGTAACCATGCTGTTTTGCAACATTTTTTTCCCCACCAAATACTGGGGCAGGATATTTTTTCCCCAGTTTGTTAGTGCAGGTATTTTTTTTTGGTTCAGAATAGCCTTGCAGGAAATTTTTTTTCAAAATCCCCCCCCCCCTCAAAAGTTAAATGATCGGCCCCTAATGAGAAGTTACTAGGCTAATTATATACCTGAGGCGAAAAGGATCGATATCTGGCTTGATAGCGACCAAGTTCCACATTCAGCCTGTGAACTAGTAAAATGAACAGACAACTAATATTAAAGTATATATGCTTTAAAGATTTAAAGATAAAATCAATGATACAATATAATTTATATATATACATGTTCCTATCAGAAGATCTGTACCATGTGAGGGTGCCATCAGAAAATCACTATACGTACGTCATTATATTAAATGGAGCGGGCGATTCCGATCATATTACTCGGGTAATTCGATCATATCACCCGAGTCATATATGTGTCAAATTATAGGGTTCTCATGTATGTGTGTATTGACAAGATAGCCAGATTAAGTAAATAGTCAACAAGCGTTGTTATTAAATGCAAACAGAAACTGATAGTATAAGATTGTATCAAAAACATTTTTCACAAACATGTGTCAGTTTGTGAAGGAGATATAAACATTCCCACGCACACACACACTGGTATTTGACGCCCTTGCAAGGTCATACTAATAAGATACTTATAGGCACATGTGAAATATTGCACGTGTACAAAAAGGTTGTATGTTGGTGCGCGGTATTGTTATAGCCTACGTCACCAAATATTACTCTGGCGTTTTCTGTTTGTAATTCAGCATTAATCGTAAAACTAAGTTCATATGCTAATAGTTCGAAAGTTTTCCTACAACATAATGTTAAATTAGTTGAGTTTTGAACATTTCTAAGTATTGTATGAGCAAGCAAGCATATAACTGACTTGAAAGTGCGACAACGCCTTAAATAAACAGATGTAGAGAGCTGGGACGAGGGTTCAACAGTACACCCTTGAACGCTGATTGGTTCGTTCAACATCATCCCACCTTTCAGTCACATGTACAAAGTTTCCCTCGACTGTAAGCATAATATTAAAAGGAGCTACCCAGCCCAATTCTAGTTAGTGGTCGTAGACCGAGTGAAAGACTACAGAAACTCAAACAACACAAGATTCGACCAACTGAGAAATAAGAAACATACGAAGAAGCAGAAGAGAATATTATTAGAACATTATCAAACTTTAGTATAGGGCCTACTATCTTATTATCTTATGTTATAACGATTCCGTTCCTCCGAATCCGATTGAATTGATGAATAAATATTCAGCAGTTTTTATCTGTATAAAACCCGGTGTTTGCGGGTTTTACATATAAGCTTATAATTAAAGCTTACCAGAATCTTTCAAAAAGCTATTTTCCTGTCTTAGCTCTTCAATCTGTATTTGTAACAGACCAATTGAAGTACCTGTGAAAGAAAGAAATGTACATCAATTTGACTGCTAGCAGCAGAACCATTGATCAGGAGATTAATTTAATACACTATCTCGACTTGTGAAACTCGTTAATACAGTAATTAATGATGAAAACACAAAAGAAATCATGAGCGTGAAGGAGTTTCTATATATGTTACAAAATCATGCTAATTTACAAAAACTTTAAGTTCAATTATAATTTATTTTAACTTGTTCACGAATACGAATACACACTCGAGAATTTCATCTACAAAACTCTTCAAGTTTTATTTAAATTTCAATCCCAAGTTTTATTCAAAGTTCATTCCAGTTTTATCATCAGATCAGTAAACAGGATATACCATTGTTCCGTTTATCAGTTAATCTCTCCCGTTCCTTATACGTAACATCCTTTATACGTAACATCGGCAAAAAATAAGCACCTGCACGAGTTCGCTCAAATAGTGTTTTGGCAAGTAGCCTAAGTCATTCCTTAACATACCGGAGCTCGACGTATCGACATTTTTCGTAAGCGATTCGTTTAATTTCTTCAAAGTTGTATTTTCTTCATTTAAAGATTGACTGAGAGTTTCCAAAGCTGACTTTTCTCGATCAAGAGTTTTAACTTGAAGATAAAGTTTGCGACACGCTTCTTTCGCCATTGTCGTTGACATTTGTTGTAATGTTGACGTCTGTGAGTTATCAACGCCTTGGTTATCTTGGACAGACGCAGGGATCTCGTTCTACAAAAGATGAAACTACGTGAATTAGGAAATAAATGCTTGCAGTACCCTATGTATATTTTCCTTCGTATATAAACAAGGAAGAAAAGAAGAGTATTAATTACAATTTGAAAATGAAAATATAAGTTAACGTTTCTTATAATTATGGCCTTTCCTTTGACTCCTAGCGACGTAACTTAGCGTTTGCCTGGGGTAAATAAAAATCATGATGGGAAAGTAGAAGTTGCTTCTTGCTAATTGCTACACAGAACTGTAAAGTAGGCGTGCAATTAAAGAGAACCAGAATACATTCGATCATGCAATAATGCAAACCAAAAATCATTATATTGTCATTAGTGATTCCACAAATAACACCTAAAAATGCCATTCATTTCACAGATCCATTCCTGAAATTCGCCATACTTTTGAGATCAGTGGGAGGTGCCATGCAGGGCCACCCAGAGGGGGGAGGGGCAATAAGGGCAATTGGCCAAGCGAACAAGGATAAGTAAAATATGCAGAGAAACCACAGTTAAATACTCTCCCATAATGGAGGAATTGCTATTCTAGGGACTCTAGATTTCAAACGTTCCTCGGGGAAAAATGCCCCGGACCTCGCAGAACTATTTAAGCACAAAATACGCATTGAAAATGTTATATGACCATTCAGAACCGAAGGTGATGATCTTGCTAATTGTCCTAAAATCTGGAAAAGAGCCCATTTGCCCCAGGATCCAATTTTCTCTGTGCGGCCATGGTAGCCAGTCCGTGCACCCACGAAACATAGTGACGCGCCCGCGATTATTGATGAACTTTAAGGTTTCCTGATGCATTTCCTTTCCTAGCTTTCCCGGTGTAAATAGCCAAGCGGAATTAGTATCCTCGCCCGTGTGTACAGTCTTTGCGAGTTTCATTGAAACCCTCCGCTGTAGTGGGAGGAAGAATTACGAAACTTTTTTTAAACAGGTTGACTTCAAATCAAGACTGACATTCGAAATTTAAAGGACATTGGCAATTAAAAATTAGTTTAGTTCATATGAAAGAACTCTTAAAACTATTATAAACCCCATTATAGATTGTTTATATCTTGCTTAGTTATCAACATATTTCGAATAAAAAAAGCGAGTTGTTCGCCATCTTGGATTATTGAGGACACGCATCTTACGTCAAGAGAGGGGTCATGCTAATTTTTATCTTGAGAGTAAGCGATCAATATGGGTCCAAAACTTCGTTTCTGGTTGCTGTCTGAAATTTAGAAATGATTAAAAACATTTGAAACAAGTTTGGATTGTTACTCGGTCATTTGTACTTGTTTTATATGGTTAACCCAACTCCTGACATTATCAAAACCATAGTTAATGAGGTCAAGAATTAGTCCAAGATGGCAGACACTCATTAATTTCGGTCTAAATATTTCGAGAACTAAACAAGATATGACAAATCGGAGACTCTATAACCAAGGTAACGTATTTTCAAGCGTGTATTACCTTTCTATTACTCTTCCTACTTCGCTTCTTTGGTCCTTTATTTTCTTCATATCTTTCTGAATGTCTGCTATGCGCATCAGAGATTACGTGATTCGTTATTCTACCATCCTTACTTTTTACTTCAGGATTGTCAGTTTCTGATGGTGTTATCCTCTGATTTTCCTGGATAAATAAAAAGTGGAAAAAACCCAGCTGCAACATGTCAGTTGTAATGGGATTGGATAGTGACTAGTTTCTATAAACAGCTTTAAAACATTACTAACTTCTTACATCGATCATCTATTCTACGCAATGATGCATTCCGTATGTTAAAGTAGGCCAATAAAATACTGTACCTGTCTATTTCCTTGAGAATCAGCAGGGGTCTCGGAAACAAATGTATTTTCTCTTGAGATATTACCATCTCTTAAATCTGCATTTCCAAACGCATAGGATCCTTGAACTGACAATGCACGTAGTTTGTTAGCAACTTCGACTTGTTGTCGTACTAACTGTGCACTCTGGGAAAACTGTTTCTGGCGTTTTTGCCGTTGTTGGGCAGGTAAATGTTGCTGTTTTTGCTGCTGCTGTTGTTGTACTAATTGTTGTTCTTCTTCGACATGTTTTTGTTTACTCTGCTTTTTGCTGTGTTTTTGTTTTTGTCCTTCCTGGTCGTGAGATTCTGTTATCAATTCCCGATTCGTCGCCGATTGAGCAAGCGTATGCCATTTCTCTTTATACGAATGAATACTTTCTGTGCTTATACCTTTACCGATCGGCGTTTTTCGTTCACCAATTGGCGGTACATCTGGCAAATGACTTGCAAGATCAGAAGCGGAGGCACCCAAGGGTATTTCATCCCTTTTTGAATATAGTGATGGTGACCTCCCTTCACTGTAGTTATCTAGATTAGTTTCGTTAAATTGTTCTCGCTCAAACTGGGAAGGATTGTTAAAGTTTCTTTGGGTTGGGTGGACAATGCTGTGAGTTGTGCTATCGTGTGTATCTTCATTTGACTGAAGAAACTCATTTGGCAAATTGGTTTCAAGGTCTGCGGGGTATTGTTCTTCCATAATATCATCAGTAAAGTCAGCACTAGCCATTATCATATTGTCATTTATATCAGTCTTAGTGACAGGTTCTTCTTTCACCTCCTCTGGAATATTTCTTGGTGAATACCTGGTTAATGAACGGTAATGAACCTATTAGTAGTTACTTTTGAGGGAATCAAATTTTACTTTTTACGAGGGATAGACACTTAATTGCAAGGTTGTAATCGGTAGATATCTGAACTAGGGGTGCACCGGAACTCGGTTCCGGCCGATTAGTTCCGGCCGAAACCCGGAATTTTTAGAGTTCCGGTTCCGGCCGGAACTAATAAAAAATGCAAGGCTAGAACCGGAACTCTCTCGTTTTCAGAGAGGTAGAATATCAAACGTTTTTGTGTCTAACAAATGTTCAAAGTAGGACGAAATTCGGACTACACAAGGAAAATGTACACTATTAACACTTCATTATGACGTTTAACGTTTGTCAATCTTTTTATTCTAATATTTGCGAGCTCTCTCCTAGATGACCTGAAGTGTCTGCCTGTCCGGCAGCAGACAAAGTAACATATGATTATATAGGGCTTAATAAATCAGTTCCGGCCGGAACTTTTTCCCAGTTCCGGCCGGTTCCGGTTCCGCTTCCGGCCAGAACTTTAAAATTCAATTGGTTCCGGTATGCCCGTAATCTGAACCTTGTTTTACGTAAACTCTTGTTGCACACGTTTGGGAGGGTTTTTTCATTCGGTTTCGCGGATTTAATTAATAATAAAATGACACTGTCGACGTTCTCGATGTTCGAAACGAAAGTGAAGGATTGACTGAAGTCCTAAAATATGTTAGCATATGCGTCGGAGGTGTATAGAGCTTTTCAAGCAATTTGATTGGTTGATCAGTTCCGGATATCCTTGCACTATTCAAGGACTGCCGGTCCATTATTATTTTCTAATGAATAAAAATGATAAAATTAACAAACACGTGTAAATACTGCTTTGTTTACAAATTGCAACTGATATTCGCGAAAGCTGCAATACATATTGTTTTAAAAATATTTTCTTTGTTTTTTGGTCATTTTTTGTTGTTGTGATATACGCTAAAACAATTATATGCACATCAGTGTCAGTGAACAGTGCAAGGATATTCATCTCAACGCTTCGCGTCTCGGTGAACATCCTTGCACTTACTCACCCCCCACTTCAGTGAATAATTGTTAAATATTTGAATGAAAGATGACTAAAAAAAAGCATCCAAAAATAAAACGAAACGAAAGAAAAACAAACAAAAAATAAGAAGCAAAACTAAAACAAATAATTATACACATTTTTATACATTAGGAAATAAACACAAATGTGGTGTTTTCGCCCGAATTCAGAAATTTGGTTTGTAATTTGTCCTCAACTTCGGCGGGACTTTTGTCGTTCAAGAGATTTTTTTCGTTACGGGCTAATTATATTTTGTTAGATCCTTACTTCTTTGACTTATCTTTGGCACTCCTTTTTTTACTGTTTCGTTTCTTAGGATACGTTTTTGAATCAGATTGATTAACAGCTGTGCTTGAGTCTTCATCTTCGGAACCCATACCACTAACACTTGTTATGTCATCCTCACTGCCGGAAGTGCTACTGGAGTGATTTTCTTCTTCCTAGATGCAAAAATAAAGTTTACTGTAAATCAAGGTTTTGCAAGGCAAGTTCAGACAAAGGTAATATTATGCAAGGAATGTCGATGTGAATGACATGAATATATACTACATAAAAAATTAATAGTAATAGTTTAGTGCAGAAAATTATAGTAACAGCGGAAAAACTTTTGAATCAACTGTCATGTAAACCTTTTAATAAGTATTTCCGAACTATGAACGATGAGTGAAACACGAGAAATAATGCGTACAATGTGATCTTACCCAGACTAAAACTGATTGCCGTTAAAAAGGATTTCTCTACCACGGTGCATTAACCTATATGTAACATTCTCCCCCCTCTCAGTTCCACAGAATGACACTTTTTTATCTTTCAGGTCTGCCTTAAGACAATTTTCGGATCTGCGATACTGTCCGTTAGAAAAAACTGGACTTAGCTGGGAAAATGGTATAAAAACTGAGCTATTGGACGTCAATGACTGACACCTTGGCTTCACTTTTCTCATGGGCCGAATGACGGAAGTTCTTACTCCAGATATATATGAGCTCACTGGACAAGAACAGTTTGCACTGGAAAAAAACAGTGAAATCCATACTGCACTGCAATTGCATACTTGCAATTGCACCACTACATATCCATACAAATCCATACAAATCCATACTATTTCAATACTATAGCCATAGTATGGAAATATTAATTATTATGGATAACCAAAATCCATTCTATTTCCAATGAAGGTCCATACAAATTCCATTCTATGAGCTTCTATGGATTTTCAAAAAAATTTTCCAGTGTTGTACGCCAAACAAACCAATCGTCTGCTGCTAATGTCCTCATATGTACCTGTGGTTTTCGTTTCTTGTTGACCTTCGAGTATATTGCTTCCACTGGGGGCGTTCTTGCCACATTCGTACTGTTATCATTGTCGCCACTTTGACTCTTCCGTCTACGAAGTATAGTTTCATCCACTACTGCATAATGTCCATCGGATTCATAATCCTCACAATCGTCCAGTGCTTCGTTTGAAGTACCAGCGTTTTCATTAATGTCTTCTCTCGAGCCTTCTGCCACGACAACTGCTTGAGCTAGATTGCCAATACTTCCCAAAGCTGTAGATAATGCTGAAAGATTCTTTTTCCTTCGTGGCCATGTTTCAGAGAAACTCTGTGCTGTACTGGGAACGGCTGCAAATATGGCGCCAGGTACTAGGCAAGCACCGATACGAGACTAAATGATTCAAAGAGAAAAAACCGTTGGAATACAATTGGAATATAATTTGCAACATATAATTTACTGAATATGATTATTCATTCATTGGCAGTTTTAAGCAATCCCAAATGTGGCCTATTACGGGAACCACTGAGTATTTTAATCAAATATAAAACAATGGTAACTCCGAAAATAAACATTTTAATATTCTAGCTTTTGTAAATAAAATATAGATTCTGAAAGTATACATGCGAGTTTGAGTTGGGTTATAGTTTCTTCGTGAGGATACATTTCTAAAATAGACTTGATCAATATATGTTGAAAGTGTTCGCATGATGTGATGTGGTTAAAACTTCAGATTTATTGTCCAGTGAGTGTTCTTAATTGATTCTGCAGTAGAAACAACGATCTGTCTTACCGATGTACCTATTATGTAGAAACAACGATCTGTCTTACCGATGTACCTATTATCCCGCGATAATTGGCCAAATATAACAGGCGAGCTAGTGAGTGTACAAACCTAGGCAAAAATATTTATTTGGCACACTTTACACATCAATAGTGCTGAATTTGACACCCACTGCAATATCTACCCCCTAGCTCCATATAAGGTTGTGCGTAGTGTGTTAGATTCACAAGCTGTTACGCAACATTACAAGGAGAAAGGGACTGGGATAGGTAAGGGGGCTGAACATGAAATTGTGAATATATGGGTATATACTGTATGCACAGTACATGTAAATAGGAAATCTGGTGCAGGCGGGGGGGGGGGCACCCCCTCCATCAACTCTTCTTCACGTCTGTTCGAATGATTATTGCTGATAATTACAATTATATTTTATATACACTCAGTTAATTAAATGTTTTCCGAACAATTTTTGCACACGTTCAACACTACAGGTGATCATCTGAATCATATGTAGTACAACATTTCCTAATGCTGGCAATAGCAGCTTTCTGGCGACCAGTAGTGTATGGGTAGATATTTATTGTAAAATATATATCTGCTAGCAATTGGCAACTGTGTATATATTATGTGAATACAATGCAATCGACCAGCTGATCAATGCTAAACTGGCTGGCAGGGTATGAGCAGTGCCAGTCAGCTCCATATATATATCTGGAGCAAGAAGTTTTAATGCAGTCATTCGATCGAAACAGCATGTACTGACCACTCTGTTGGCTTGGGGATAATGAATTGCTAAAAGCACCCTTGTAACAGTCGTGACGTTTAATTTATTTTAATTTACTTATATGAAACTGGCAGCTTCTAAGGCTGGTAATTTGTACATATCTTACAGTTGATTTCACATAACTTTTCCGTGAATGTTGCGAACTTCGTTCCGAACTTCGTTGTGAAATTCAAAAGTTCATACTGAAATTCACAAGTCTGTTTGTAAACAAAGCCCCTGATTGGTCCCTGAACAAAAATAAGCCAATCAGAGGCTTTGTTGACAAACCGGCTTGTGAATTTCAGTATGAACTTTTGAACTTCACAACGAAGTTCGGAACGAAGTTCGCAACATTCACGGAAAAGTTATGTGAAATCAACTGTAATACAAAAATTATTTACAATTATAATAATATATTACAATTTCTAAAATTAACATTGAAAAGTATTAATTTTAGTTTTAGGTTGCTTAATTAACCCATTAAGCACCAGCGCTCTATACCCAGGCTTGACGTTGACCAAGTAAAATAATCTGGTGTTGAACAGAATAATATTAAAATAATAATTTAAAAAGTGGGGCGCATCAGGGCACAATGCAACTCAATGGATTAACTATAGACACATTGGCAGATACATGTAGGCCAGTTAACCCATTAAGCACCAGCGCTCTCCCCTTAACAAGTAAAATCATCTGGCATTAGACAGAGTAAAATAATAAAGTAAGTGAAGTCGTCAGAGTGTTATAAAAAGAGGCTGAGTCAAGTCCGTTCGGCAGATGTGCACTTTGTTTACATTTTGAAGACACTAATAAATACATAGGCTAACATATCAGGGTCCGAAATTTAAATTTTTTCTCATTATATCCAAATGGGAAATCAGGATTCAAAGTTTAGTATCCCCCTGAGAATCCAGTATAATCCCACTTCTAGATAAAGGTGTACTGTATTGCAATGAATATAACTGGAATGCTACCTCCAGATAAAATGCCTATACTGTATATAATTTTTCTCAAAGTCAAATCTTGGAAGCCAATTAGTCCCGAGTGTTCACTGGAAAAAATTTTGAAAATCCATAGAAAGTCATAGAATGGAAATTGTATGGACCTTTATTGGAAATAGAATGGATTTTGGTTATCCATAATAATTGTATATTTCCATAGTATGGACATAGTAAGGAAATAGTATGGATATACTATGGATTTTGTGGTGCAATTGCAAATTTCTTAGTATGGATTTCACATTTTTTCCCCAGTGGTTTATACTGTATACGTATCATATGAGTGCCTGATGAGCGCTCTCTGTTCGCATATTTGAAAAGACTGTGTGGGACTCAGGTATTCAAGCTTTAAATTTCTAGTTGGAGGTAGCACGTACTCCAGTTATTCATTTCAATGGGTTAGTTATCAGTAACATGCATTTAAGTATTATACCAATGTCCCATCCAAATAAGTTTACATAACTCTCACTGTTACAAATTACCATAACAAAAAGAGATTCGATCAACAGTCAACAATTAGACAATTCCTTTATACACAAAAATTCTAGGAGTATTAATGCCTTATGGAACGGTTGGATATGAGAAAAGGCTTGGTGTCAAACTGATATATGTAGCAGTCGATTAGATATCAATAGACTATCAGAGCTTAAGGCTAATGTTTGAAATGTTCTGATCGATTATCCAGTTTGGGATATTTAAGTCATTCACAGTTTGGTATATTCAAAACCAAGTTTTAGTAATTTCCTAATTGGATATCGGGATACTGCAAATTTCGGATCCTACTTAAGTTAATATCTAACATTGTTCTGGTTCGCTATGCATTTAAATGACCATATTAATTGATTGGAGTTTCAATTTAGAAGGTGTCGAAAGAATGAAAAATTTGGGTATTAAATAATTTGTTTAATTACATCTTGAAGATCTTGGAAGATCATGGCAAGGTTTTGGACGATCATGGCAAGGTCTTGGCAAGATCGTGCCCAAGTGGCCCTAACCATCTGAAGGTCAGAATGACCATCTGAAGGTCAGGTTCATAACCATCTGAAGGTCAGGTTCATAACCCAAGTGGCCCTAATCCATCTGAAGGTCAGAATGTCAAATCGCATAGGAAAAGTATTTTACCCAACTCGCGATCTTTACGGCAAAATTCATCCTGGATTAACTCCTTACCCTTGATTGATACGTCTTGTACGTGTACTTCCAGCCGCACACACACTCGTAGTCGCTCCAATAGAACTTATTCTAGTAAAACTACTAGCTGCAAGAAACCTAATCAGTATCAAGCGACACGACAACAACCACCACAAAACCGTACTCGGGTTTTCAACTACATTTCCCCAAGCACAATCGTCTCAAACATTCAGTAAATCAGAATTTTCGTCGTTCCCGAATGAAAGAATGGTCAGTCTATCTCGAGTTTGTGCGTCAAGTAACGAAGAACAAATAACTTCTCGAAGTCACTTATTCCACGCGGAAATTGTCCGTGATAATGGTGATCCTGTACAAATTAGCGATAATGACGATAA